CTGGCCGAGCCAAAGTGGCCTGGGATAGTGTGGAGTTGTTGAAGGGGCTGTCGGAGCATCCTCGGTGGGGACATCGCCTCTCCGTACTGCTGGGGCCTGGGGAAGAGAAGCTAGTTCGTTGCAGGCACCGAAACGTCAACGACTGTTTCAACGACTTCAAAGAAACAGACGGTCGAACTGTTCAGCTCCTGACATGGTTGCGCCAGCGCCCAGTCATCACAATCTGGAGCAACATATTGCTGGTGCACGGGCAGCTGTCCTTGCCCATGTTGGACGACATTGTCATGGATGCTTGGAAGAAGAGGCGCGAGATCGCATGCGAAGTGCCCGGCTCCGAATGTGGGCGAGAGGTGGTTGACCCTTGGAGTGCAACATGTTTGAGTGTTAAATATAACTATGGAGCTTTGCCCACCCAGGCTTTGCAAGCTAGGAAGGCCGACTTTGCAAGATCTCGCGGCTTTGTTACATCTGTGATGACCCAGCTTCGTTCTTGGTTCCGATCAGGACATCGCCAACAGCATGTGCAACCTCTACTTCGCAAGCGTGCACGAGTGCTTCCTGCGTACGCGCGCGACGACCAGCACCTCAACCAAGATCGTTGACAGCGGCAACGGCACCTGGTTCGCTTGAAAGGACGCCATTTTGATTGTGTCTATTGGACGTTTTCGGGGGAGGGGGGGGAGTCGAAGACCACATGTGCACCGAAATTCTGAACCACCCTTCACATTTTTTGGAGAAGCCCCATGTGCAGTTAAGAGCCTCCGTCTCAAGCCGCCGGCCTGAGCGGGATTGAGGGATCGGGGCGCCGGGAAAATCCACGGCTCAAAGGGTCTAAAGGGCCTTTTCGGGGGGGAGGGGGGTGGGCTTCAGCCAGTTCCTACTGGCTTTCAGGGGGGTGAGATGGGGAGAGCGTTTCTGGACGGTTCCTAGAAGCTAAAGCTTTCCATAGCCATTGAGGGGTTCATAGGGGCGGTCAGCCAGCGTCGCTAGAAGCTTCGGAGAAGTTCATGGCATGCAGCTTTTGGTTATGTGGCCCTCACCCCTATCGGGGCGGCCGGAGTGAGGAGGGAGAAGGCGAAGAGCATCTTCACTGAGACAAATCATTCGCCACAAAGCCTCCAAACCCCAGGAGGGTTGTCCTTTTTGGGCTCCTGCAGCCCTGAACCGCAGGCCTTGCACCGTTGTCCCCAAGCCCTTAAGCTCTGAAGCCTAGACGCCATCTGGCGGGACGAGCGCACGAAGTGTGCCTTTCGGCAGATGCCGCCGTTCGTGCTTCAGCCGGCAGGCCGAGGCGGGGGTGTGGATGGGTGTGGGTTGAGAGATGTTGAGAGGTGTTCGGGGTGTCGGGCCTAGTGTAGGGTGTGTCCGAGGCGTTTTGGGGGTGGTTTAGTCTTCGAGGTTTAGGGCCCAGTGGAAAAGGGCTGCCGTAGTCACCTTTCCGTGATGTGCTCGGAGCCCGTCTAGAAAGCACGCTTCCAAGTTGCCATCCGGACCTCCACTCATTCCAAGTCTGTTCACTTGGTAGGTCGGCTCCTCGAGGCGTCGGGGTTGAAAGTGTCCGAGGGGGAGTGCAGCGACTGGGCAACCGCCCAGGCCTTGGCTTGTGACAAAGTTTTCGGGGCACCCCAAAGCCCCCCTAGGCAGGCTGGCCGAAACCTTGAGGATAGGGAAGGGAGCGATAACCCACCCTGGCCCCACCCTCCCGCCGAGAAACCCCCGAGGCCGCCCAACTCCTTGGGCTCCGCGCTTTGGTTGTCGCCTCAACTCCGTCTCGGCCGTGCGCCGAGGCTCCGTTGCCCTGTTTTACCATGTTTCGCCATGTTTCGCCATGCTTCGCCATGATTCGTGTTCACAGGCTGCACATGCCTCGAAGGGGTCCCTTTTCGGAAGCTTTGAGCAGGCCAAGCCGGTCCTGCCTGGGCCCAGGGGCTGCTCACAGCCCTGCATCCATGCCGCGGATGCGAAGTGCTGCGAGGTCCGCGTCCGGGAGATTTTGTAGGGACTTTGGGGGATACTATGTAGAGGGCATAGACAGGGACAGAGACAGAGGCAGAGGCAGAGGCAGAGGCAGAGGACAGAGGACAGAGGACAGAGGCCGAGGCACAGAGAGACAGAGACAAAGACGGAGAGCGAGAGAGAGAGTCCGAATCCTGCAAGATGCAAAGTCAGGGGGCCTCATGTTCGCCACCTCGGAAGAAAGCCCCTTCAGGCGCTGCGTCTTCAGATGGGGCCCTCGGGCTCTGGACTCTCTGCACAGCGGTGCACCTGGCAGCCCGAGGTCGGGTTCGCTTCGGCCGTGTGGGGCTTCCAGCTGCAGGGTTGAGGGCCGCAAGGCCTTAGTAGGGCCTCTTTAGGGGTCCGGGTTGAGGAGGGTTGAGGAGGGCTTTGGATGATGCAAGACTGAACCGGATGTTTACTCTCCAGGATCGTCAGGACTCCAGATGCAAGGGCTGTTAGAGACTCCGAAGGCCGAAGCCCTAAACGCCACATGGAGCCGTGTAGAAGGCTTGGGACGCAAAATAGATCCTGCGCTGGTGGTAGTGGTCGCATCTAGGCGGGTCCACGTTGGCGCAAAGGAAGCCCTGACAATGCCGCCACAACTGTCAGTCAAGCTACCCAACGAACAAGTCAATACCACCAAGCAAGCCTACGAAAGCAGCCGCGGCGGCGGCGGCGGCAGCGGCAGCGGCAGCGGCAGCAGGAGTAGCAGCGGCAGCGGCAGCACAAACATTGGTAGCAACACCAAGCAGCACAAGCAGTGGTAGCAACACCAGCAGCAGCACAAGCACCAGCACAAGCAGAACACCAGCAGCACCAAGACCACCACAACCACCGTCATTAACAGGAACAACACAAAGTGTGTCAACAAGCCTGGGTCCACAAGAGTGCATACGGTTGAACTTGGAGCCTTTTGTTGCTTTGGGTGTTCGTTTTTCGCAGTGGGTTTCTGCATGTTTGGGTGTTTCGGTGGTTGTTCGCTAGGTTTGTCTTTACGGACTCGAACGATTGTGTTGTTGCCAGGGTGCTCAAGGAATTGGTTTTGCTGTGCAGCACGCATTGGAACAGTCCTACCGGCACTTGCAAAATCAGTCTTTCAGGAATGCCGAAGAACACCAAGCAACCACCTCAAGCCTGAAAGAAGACGAGGTGTTTGTAGTGCTTGTTTGTGGCTGTGGGCCGAGAATTTGGGGCCACTGTCTTGAGAGAACTCGATCTTGCAGTTGCTGAGCTTTGAGAGCGCCTAGTCCCGAACAGGCACGCCAACAGCCTGCGCTCCAGTGCCAAGACCTTTCCTGAGCACGAACCAGGCTTTCGAGAAATCGACAGGAAGCCCCGAAAATGCGGAAAAGGATGCCAGTGCGAGTCTGGGGCTTGAAGTTCTGCCAACTGAGTTGGGTCGGTTGGGTCGGTTCGTCGGGTCGGGTCTGCCTGCCAAAGGGCTTCGTTTGGTCCACGGTTTCCAGATGTGATGCACGTTGGACCGCAGCTTGCGGGCTCGCTGTTTGCAGCCATGTTAAAGCAGCTGTCCAGAAAGATGCGTCGGAATTATGCCTCCTGGTTTGCATTAGCCGTCTGCCGAGCCGTGCTTTACGCCGCCCGAGACTGCGAGCCTGCACAAGCAAGTGCTTTCTTTCCATGGTTGATGGGACAGCCACTGGAGATGGTCGTTGGGCACTGCGTTGATAGGCTGTCCGGGTATCCGAAGCCAGGAAAGTCTTGAGTGCCCTAGGTTTTGGACGAGTCCTCGATCTCCGGTGGTGCGGCACAGCCGGTCGAAAAGCAGATTGGGTCGCAAGGATGCTTTGTGGGGGCCGGGTAGTGTCTAGAGCCTTTGAGCCTTTCAGTCGATTCCACCGATTCCGCCGCTGCCGAGGATCCGCGGCCCAGCGCCGGTGAAGGCGGCGAAGTCCTCAGCGTTGGCCATTTCGTCCACCTTTGCTGGCTGAGGAAACCTCTGGCTTCAGGGTGTTAGACTGAGTGGCTTAGCATCTTCATGTGCTATTTCAATCATTAGCGTTCGGCAACACCCAGCTGTTGGATGTAGCGCAGATGGTCTACTTCTTGATAGGCACACGGGTACAGAACCCTTGGGACGTATTTTGGGGCTCGCGGGGGGATTATAATTGCGCCGTGCAATTGGCCTACGTTGCCCTAAGTTGGCCTCCGTGAAATTTCGGGCGTCGCTGGAGCTGCAAGTAACCTTCCCGAACCCGAATGCCCTAAACTCCTGAATCCCAGGCCATGCTTGCTAGAGGCGGGGGTCGTGCCTTCTCCTAAGGCACCCACAAACTACGAAGAGCTGCAGCGCAGGTGCATGGGGGACACATCCGCAGCAACAGTATGGGGATGTGGGCCGAGTGACCACTTGCAGAAGCTCAAAACACAACCTGAAGCTTCCAACATCTCCCGAGCAGGAGACAGATGAAGAAGCAGGTGACGGTGGTCGAACCTCAGGCAGTTTGGTTTGTTGCAAGCGCGCTCGGGAGACGCTTCTCTTGTGATGAGGTCAGGCTGAGCTTTGCTGTTTCGCGGTGCCTACATGCCTGGACATGATTCTGAGCCAATTTCGAATCCAGAGACCGACTGAAGAAAACAACGTAAGCCCATGAAGATCACCTGAAATGCCGGAACCCCAGACCCCAGAGCAACGGTTTGATGCTTGGCGGTCGCGCAGGTGGATGAGAAACCCGGGCCACCGACGCTGCTGCCGGTGATTGAGGGAGAGAAGGCCCAAGTGGTTGCAAGAAGGATTCGTGAGAAGAGACAAAGAGCATCTCCCCGCACCTCGAACAAGCCGAAGAACCCCCCCAACTTGTCTCAATGGCAAGGACCCCGATGGGCAGGCCGCCACACGGATGAGTTATTCCGATCAGTGCCTAGGCTTGAAGATTGAAGCCCTGATCATGTCGTCTCAGGGCCCACTGAGCGAAGTGTGGGGGTTGGAAGTGGTTTTGGCGTTTGAGTTGCGCAGGGCTTGCAGGGGCCTCGCTGGAGGAGTGTGTTCCGGGCGTGTGCTCTGACAAGTCACGGTGCAGTTGTGATCATGGGTGGCATCGCCGATGAACTCCTTAACGTTAGGGGTGTATGTTCCTTATGTCTGCGGCGTCGCTGAGCTATCCTGCGCTCGAATCTTCTCGCCGGGACCGGGACACCATCTGATATATATATATATATATATGTATAAGAAGATATCTATGTATACATATATGTGTATATATTATGTGCGTGCGCGCGTGCTTTTTGTATTAGCGGTTTGCTAGTCTGGGGCTGGTTTCGTCTGTACACCTGCGCGCCCTGCACGCCCTAGCTCCGACTCCCCCGAAGCATTCGCCCGCGAGCCCTTTGCGATTCTACGGTGGTTCCAAGGGCCGACACCGACGAGGAGCCCCCGAGGCAGAGCCAGCTCTTCAGTGGGGTGCTGAGGCTGGGTGCATTGTGGTGCTTTTCGGATTTGGTCGGGCAGGTTGGGGGGCGGCTGAGGCTAGCTTGAAGGAGCATTGGATACTGAAGAGCTCTGGCTCGACGACGCAGGAACATGCATGGTCTACTTCAGGTATGTCAGCAAACAAGCAGCCGCCACAGTACACACAGGAGGCCGACAGCGGATCTTCAACATAACGTGCAGGTGCTGCTTGGCGATTCCAACTCAAGGTGGGGCCGTAAAATCGGCCACACTGCGACTGGCAGTGTTGCACTCCCATTCGTTCTCCCCGTCCCCCATGGTCAAGCCACGTAATAAATCGAGCATAGCAGCACCAGCGGAGCACAACTTCACCGGCATGGCAGCGAACGTCGATAGACCTCAAGCCAGAAACGGTATGAGGAAGAGTTGCTGTTGGCAAGCGCGCCTATGAAACAGGTGGTCTTACCGCGAATAGAACTGAAGCAAACCTCCGTCTGTGTGACTATGACTATGTGTCACTCTGAAGGCTCGCGCCAGGAACTGGACATGTGAAGCACAGGAAATGCACAAGCCTGCAACACCGCAACTTCCAGCGCAGAGGACAGCTCAACATGTTAGTCGATTCCTGTGTGAACAACCACTCTGTACGGCCCACACACGCTATGACGTAGCACGCAACATGAAAGCCCACGCCTGCGGAGGTTCGAATTGCGCCTGAAAACAGGGGAATATAACAGCAAAATCCCTCCGCAAAATAGCAAGAATTGGAAGTGCATGGCACAGAACTTGCAACTTTTGCGCCCCTGGCGCCTTCAAAGCAGATTTTTGTCCCGCACCGCGAGGCGGCGGACGCTGAACAAGTTCCGGAGCTGGCTCGGTGGCGCGCCGGGCATTCCTCCAGGGGTTTCAGGCTTCTGGTGTTTGGCCCAATCATGCTTAGTCCAGCCCCGGGACATTGTCACCTTGACAGCCGGACGCCTCCGTCAGCTCAGGCAGAGCTAGGCCCGAAGCCCCCCCCAAGCCTAAACTGATTGAAGCGCTCTTTCAAACATCTGAGGCAACTTCGTAACTCAGAAGAGCTTCGGGCCGGGAGTTCTCGAGGCCATGGATGGAGGCCCCGAGGGTCGGCGAGGGGTCTCAGGACGAGGCGAAGGTTGACGTTTTTGGAGGGGTCTTGGTGCAAAGGTTCAGCAAAACAACGAGGTCTGCGAAGTGGACAAGCATGTTCACATGGCACATGTGGTGGCCCCGCGCAGTCATGGATTGATGGAAGCCAGCGTGAACGCGCGTGAGCGGGTCAAAAGTCCGCACAAAGCTGAGAGCTTTTTTGCCGGCCCTCAGCGCGAGGCTCAGACGAGGAAGAGGAAGGCACGGGGAAGTGCGACAGCGACACTTGGGCTCCTGGGCAGCCTGGGTGACTCCAGGAGTGAGCAACTTCTGAGTCCTGGGATTTGGGGACGAGTCTTTTTGGGGAATTTCAGGTGTTCTTTTTCAGACCTGCCGTGAACCCAAGGCATTGAAGAATCACTTCCTGGCAGCATACTTGACGGGGGAGGTGGACATCCTGGACAAATGCCTCCAGGCTGGGGACCCCCATTGCAACCCCTCACAGCACCAACAAGCCCCCGCGCGCTTTCGGGTCTTCGAGGCGGGGCTTGCAAGGCCCCTCAGTCTGCTGACTCAAAACCCTCGTATCGGGGGAAAGGCGAGATTTCCACAAAGCTTCAGCTCCTGACGCCACAAAGGGGACATCGTTGGATCGGTTGCGGCTTCAAGGTCGAGGTGCAGCAAAGCAAACTCAAACGGCGGTATATGCTCCTCATCTGCCACACGAACGAGAGCTGCAGGGTTCACAAACATCAGGAGGGGCACAGATAGATTCCTTGTTCTTGGGATTCCCAGCAGACGATCCTCAAGCCCTTGTGCCTTGGAAAGCCTATCACCGGGCAAGCCGACATCTCCGAAGCTTCTCCCAAGCTCCTTAAACCTCCACAGTGAAGCTTCTGAGCAAAGCTTCTGAGCGAAGCTTCTGAGCATGTTGCAGATCCAGCAGGCCTGCGTGGACAAGCACGGTCAGCGTGCCTACCTCGCCATTGCCAAGGCCAGTTGCTCCGCAGTTCGGTGGAGGCAGCCGAGACGCCAAGCGCGAAAGCTCATCTTTCTGCAAGCCCACACTTTGATGAGTGTTTCAGGGTCTTGAGCCTCAGAAAAACTAGTCTTTCAGTGAGCTCACGCTCGGCTTTCAGGAGCCCGGCGAGATCACCCTGGAGGAGTGGCTGCGGATGTATGCAGCCCCGAAGATGCTGCGGAAGCTACAGGCGAGTGCTGCATCTTGAAGGTCGTTGGTGGTAGATGTCAGGTAGGGGGGCAACGGCTCTTAGGGCGTTCAGAGAAGACCGTTAGTGTAGTGTGGTTCTGATCTGAGCTCATGTGAGATTTGCGACATTTGCAAGATTTCGGAGCTGTTCATATGCATCTTCCTGATCTCCCAGGAGCTCTACCACGAGGTGTATGAGGAGGCCGCTTTTTTGCAGTAGCCACTGAAGACCCTCAAAGCTTCCTGGGCTCCGAAACCCGAAAGGACTTCAAATGTCAAAGCTACAGCTGAAGCTGCCTGAGCCAAACGAGGAGCAGCTGCGGCGTGCCTTTACGCTGCTCCAAAACCTCACAGCCGGGCCAAGGCGGGTTGCGGTCTCGATCCTTCTTTGATAATTCGGGTTGACGCTGGCTGAGTTTTGGGGTGGGACGTCATATAAGATGCATATCTTTGCCAGTCGAAGGTTCTCTACTTAAAAGCTGACTCTCCGGAGCAACCGGGCCGTATCTTACTTAGCTGACGGTCAGAGGTGCGGGCTCATGCTGCAGTCAAGGTTCTGGTGGTAAGGAGCACTTG